ACTATGAGATCCAAGCTCGAGGGCACACCAATCCTGCCGAAATTCGACTTGTACACTCTCATAATGGGGCGACATACTATTATCAACTTCATCTGAGACACTTTCATAGGCAACCCACGCTGTATTGACCAAGAAATATCTACAATCTTTACCAAATTTCTTCGAGCCGCCAGAGAGGAAAGTTTTACTTGTCGTATGATTACAGTCTCCGATGACCCATCTCTGAGGCCATGAGGCATTCCAGATGCCTTGACAGCGAGGTTGCGCCAACGTTGAAACACCGATGAGTACAACAAATTGCCGAAAGAGTAAAACAATGCCGGTATTTGATGCTTAGCAAGTCTTATTGCCAGAAGTCTAGCGATTCTTTCACGTTTTTCGTTCCGAAGTCATGAGACGAAGAGGCATTATAATAGAACTACTACCAGTTGCATGGTTTTTAAGCTTCCACCTTATACTAGATCCTACGAATGTTATGGAGAGGAGTCTGCTGATATCAACATCAGAGCCAGAAAGGGGATCGTGTGTATATCATTTGCTGTTAGCGAGGACGAACCGGTGTTAAAGTCGGTTTTGCACCACGAGATCTACCCACAACGAGATCGTTTTACAGAACTTCAAAGTCCGAAGTGATCGAGAAAACTTTGTCTCCTTCGTGCAGCTAAGGAGCTTTTGCAGTGTTCCTTCATGATTATATGATTTTTCAACGCCCTCCTCCCGCAATTTCGCTTACTTTCACAAAATATTGAGCCAATAAAGACCTCTTTCCCCTTCCACGCACATCTCGAAGCTTTCAATGTTAAACTATTTCGCTTTCTACGTTGTTGTAAGCATTTGAATGGTACTCCATCTGTTGAGTTCCAGGTAAAATGGAGCTTAGTAAAGATTTCTTTATATATAAAAGTAACTTTGTCAACACTTGTGAGCCTAAGCCACAACGAAAATCGCTGGCAAGCCTAAAACAAAACATCGACTGGAAACTCCTGCGAGAACAAAGAGAGCCCTACACGCTAAGTAGCCAGCCTCGCCTGCTCCACCATCCACTTGAGCTCCACCAACTGTTCCCATATTCCTAAAGTTGCAACAAGTCGAAGTGTGCGTCGCAACCCACATTCATTTATTTGTTGGCTTATTCATGCAATGACATGTCTGTGTGCATCTTGTGCCTTTTTTCTTTTGTTTATACTCCACTTTTACCGGCTTTTATTTGTATTAAACTTTGCGCACAGAGAGACTGCAGCTAACAAAAGACACTTTCTTCTTATTTTGCCCTTAAATACCATTTGTGATCGCAGACATACTTTGCGAGGAGCCCTTGAAGCGAACCTCGGCACGTGCTCACCTACGGAGACTAAAATATTCTATTCAATTTTTTGCCATACCCAGAGTTATTATCGATAGAGACTGGAGCTAGAACAGAGCTGTGCCGCCCTTGCTTGTTGACATTTTGTTAAGCTTTTGTTAGTTTGGCTCCAGCGAAAGTGTCAGCGGCACGCCTACCCACTCGTGAGAAAACACACACCCGACGCAAGCAGTTGACGGCCATAAGTTCCCGTTCTGTACTCGCTTAGCAGTCGATTCCCACATTTTAATGAATGAATTCTTTCTAATCCACATACAACTTGTTCACTCACCTGAACCTCAGCACCTCGTTGACAAGTCGGCTTTTTGCTTTGATTTTCACACTTTGACACCTCCATTATTGGCACTCATTACAACACAGGCACAACGCGTGAGTTTGTTTGGGAAAAAGTCAACATTGAAAAACACACAGACAAAAAATGAGTTCATAAAAAACCCCGGCAACATCTCTATCCCTCGCTGTCTTACATTTTGTGGCCAGATCCCGCAACTACACTCCCTTCCTCCCTGACTGTCGCGTGGTTATTGCTCTTTTAATTTACAGCTCCGCTTCAGCTCTTCCACCGCTCTTCTCCATCGTTCTCACCGCACTGTCCCCGCTCGACGTGTCGGCAGATCGGGAACTGGTTTGCTTACCTTCAATATGCCGCTCGTGCTTTTTTCTATTTTTGATTCTTGCTTTCTGTTTATTCCCCTTCATTCGCCAGCAGCTTTAAGTGCTTCACCGCACTCTCCACTTTTCATTTCCATTTTTTTTTTCTTCTTTTCATTTATTAAAACCCAGTTAAGCGACTTGACAACAATCGTAACTCAGCACAAACCGGCGGCCAAGGTGGACGTAGCAAATTTGTGGCGGAGCCAAAAGCCGTAAGCAGAAAGTCAAAATCAAAACAAAAAGTTAAAAATCACGCCGTTTACTTTTCGCTCCACTTCGGTTCACCGCTTTTCTTCATTGCCATTGCTGTTGTTGCTATTGTTACCGTGTGACGGTTTTATGCCTACCGGTGGCATACCAACACGTTGGTCGCTCGTACGGCGCAGACAGAGCATGTTGCGTCTGCGGTGGCGTAGACTGCTGTCGCTGACTTCACTGCTTTGACTTTTGGTCCCACTGTTTTTTTTTCTGTTGTTGTTTTTTTTTTTTTTTTGCTTCTTAACATTTTTATTGTTTTTTTGTTTGGAAGTCAACACAGTCAGGTTTCGGCCCTTAACATAGGCCTAAAGGTAAAGCTGCTGACGCGAGGCAGTACCAAGCCAAAGAGACAGTGGAGGAAAGTGTGGGAGGGCAGAAAGCAGAGAGAGAGTGTGAGAGAAATGTGCAACGTGTGGGTGGCGAGTTGCAGATATTTAGCCACTTGAGAACCCAGCAGAAACTTGGAACCGTAAATGGAATTAAAGCAAATACAATAAAATTAAATAATTAATAATATTTAAATAAAGCACAAAAATTATAAAATAAAATATAAATAAGAAAAAATAAAATAAAAGCAAATATAATAAAAAAAAAATTTCATAAATAAAAACATAAATTCGAATTAATTTCAAATAAAATAAATTAATTTATACTAAATAAAAACATAAAATGAAAAATAATAATAAATCAAATAAAATAAAAAAAAAAAATTAAACTAGTTAAAGTATTATAAAGTAAAGTAAAATAAAATAAAATAATTAAAATAAAAAATAAAATAGATAAACGAAAAAAAATAATAATAATAAATAAAATAACAACAATTTTAAATAAAATAAAATTGACAAAATTGAAAAAATTATAAAAGTAATAAAACAAAATAATATAAAGCAAAGTAAAAGCATTAATTAAACAATAATATAATGAAATAAAACAAATAATATAAAATAAAGTAAAAAATAATAGTAAATTCAAAATAATAATAGCAAAAAATAATTAAAAAAAAATTAAAAACATAAAAAAAAAAATTAAATAAAGTGAAAAATAGTAAAAAAAATCAAATCAAATGAACTAAAACAAAACAAAAAAAGAAAAAAAATAAATAAAAATAAAAAAAATAAAATAAAATATGATCACTAATATAAAGTAAAATACAATAAATAAAATTAAATTATAAAATAAATGAAACAAATCATATAAAATAAAGTAAAAAGATAAAATATCCAATAAAAAATAAAGCTAAAATAAAAATAAATAAAATATAAAGTAAATAAGTATAAATTAAAATAAATTAAAACAAAATATATTCAATTAGAATAAAATTTAATAAAATAGAAAAAACTTAATATAAATAAAACAAAAACAAATTGTCTAATTCACGCTTTTCTCCCTCGTCTTAGCTGTGCTATCAGCTGTTGCTTCTACTTTTTTTACATATATATGTGTATATAGCATTGTTGTTATTGTTCTTAACGTTGTCGTCACTGTCTCCGCTGTCAACCGCTCTTGCGGTCGATATCACAACGACTACGTCGACGTCATTAACATTTCTTTATATTTTTTGTTGTTTGCTGTTTTTTGTATTTGTTTTAATCATATCTACGTTTATTACCATTGCGATTGCTGTTGGTATTGTTGTTGTCAGTTTGTTGTGATTACGTTAACTCTTGACTCGCGTTGACTTTTCGTTTCGTTTTCGTCGCGTCGCAGCGCCTCGACTTCACACACGTCTGTTCTGTCAGTTGGTTCTGCGGTATGCTAACCGTGTCGTTCTCGCTAACTCTACTATTACTACTAGTTGTTGTTGTTGTTGCTGCTTATTTTTATTACAACATACATATAAGCGCAGTTGCTGCTATCGTCAACATGCTCCGACTTCGATTTCGACTCCGTACCGCCAATAGCTCTTACTGCCTGCCGCACCACAATCAGTCTGTGGCTGGACGTCGTTGAATGTCGTCTGACAAAATTTTTTGGGTTTGTTAGTAAAAAAGAAAAAAACAAAAAGAAAAACTCCACAGAGAGTGCACATAAGAGGTAATATATATATACATACATACCCCACAAAAACACGCGGTCCAACAAACTCGCGCACAAAAAAGAAAGAAACAAACAAATAAACTCGCGGGTCTCGTATCGCTCCGTCATCGCTGCGAAGTGTTCCCTGCTCGTGTACAGGTTATGTGAAACATGCAGCCGGTATAATGCCGCTATCAGCGCGCAGCGGGTCTTTGTGTGCGTGCGCGCTCGTATTCCTGTGGTTACATCAAATTCTAGCGAATATTCAAACATGCCAAGTTTCAAGTGTCGCGAGCTTCCAATAAGCATAAGGCGAAGCATAGTAGGCAACGCGAATTAGTAAAATTTTCATACAAACAGTGCAAGAAGAAGAAGAAGAAGAAGAAAAAACTTCAAGAAGAAGGAAACTAAGAAGAAGCAACGAACGCGTCAACTGCATAAGTACTACAATATTATCATTCGTGATTTGCACAACGCCAGCGTCGGCAGACCGGCAAGCGCACACTCACACTAACAAGCAAGCGAATCGCGCCAGTCGCCTCCACCAGCGACAAGCTAACGAACAAACCAACTAACCAAGCAAGCAAGCTTTGCTGACACGCAACGCGTGCGTCTACGTTAGCGCCAGCGTTGGCAGCGTTGCCCCAACGGCACAGCGAAACCGACTCGTACGAAGACGAAAAGGAAGCCTTCAGCTCCATTCGGTTGTGCGCCGTCGTGCGGTACGGACGTCGATTACGGTTTTCGCTGGTGGTGGTTACTTGGCAATACGGTCAGACAGACTAAGTTTTGACTTGCGAGGATTATTGTGTGGGTTTTTTTCTTTTAATATAACTAAATATATTTTTGAGGACAAGTTTTACTGTTCTTGTTTTTTTTTTAACGGAAATACAGAAAATATGATTTTCTGATTTTTCAATATAAGCAAACAAAAACCAGCGTTAAGTTTTGTCCACCAAAAGTTACCAATCACGTCGCCGGAATTAGTTGTGTGTTAATCCGTGTAGATTTGTTACGCATTCCAGGCAAGGATACGCCGTCGCGTCAGGATTCGTACGCGTGTTGCTCGTCCTCGCTTTGGATACGCGGCCGGAATTCGCGAATCGGACATTTGTTTCTTGCGAATGTGTATGTGTGTGTATGTGCGTGTGTGACTGGGAGTGGGAATGGCGGCAGGAGTGGCAATTTCAGGCTTCGTATAAAATTAAAGGCAAAGTGAAGGAGGAAATTTCGAAAGTATTTTTGTGTAATGATGATTTTGTGTTGGACTTTGAAATTATTTGAATGAAATATTGCGTATAATAATGAATAGAGATATTAAATTAAATAAACTTATATAAAACGGAAGACATGGAAAAATGAAAGAAATATTATATAAAGAAAGTATTTACCTAAAAATGAAATGTTAATGATAGCTGTTAAAAATAGCTTTAAAAACGAGAAATTAATATATAAAAATTATAAAAATTTGAAAATCGAGTTGAAGTACGGAATTTTGATAAAAAAAAATTAAAATTAAATTGTTTTAAGTTTTAATATAAATTTTCTAATAAAAAATTAAAAATACTTGTTTTTAGGAACATAAATTTTTTATCTAAAATTAAAAAAGAAATAAAAGGCCTAAAAATATTTAAAAAATTAAGAGCATTAAATATTGGTTATAAATATATATATATATATATGTAAATTTTTAAATAATTTTATTTTTGTAAATATATTTAATTTTTTGATTGAGAATATTAAAATTTCTTTATTGAGGATTTGCGAAAAAACCATTGAATTAAAGTTTTATTTGAAAAACGTAAAAATTCACTTAAAATCTAATCAAATAAATTTTAATCAAAAAAAATAACCATGAAAAATTATGTTGGAAATTTTTAAACAAAAATTTTCTTTGACATTAAAAAAAATCAAGAAAAATTTCAAGAATTTAAGAAAGGAAAAATAATAAATGTTCAATAAAAAATTTATTATTTTTGAACATATTACTTTTAAAAATAAAAATTAGGAAAAATTATGTTGAAAAAATTTGGAAAATAATTTAATAAGAATATTTTCTTATTTTCAAAAAAAAAAAAAAAATATTTTGGCTAGATTTCACGAAACTTAAAAAAAAGAAAAATTAAATAAGTTTAATAGTTTTGATAAATTTTGTATTAGTTCGATATTGGTTTTACTATTTGTGTCATTCGTAACTGAAGAAATCATAATATTTAAATAAGCAAGGACACTAAATTAAATATTCAAATTTTCTTGAAAAACATGCGTTTTTAGTTTAAAGGATTCATTTGAACGAGTTTCTGAAATAATAGTAAACTTGATGCAGACTTGATGGAAAAATTAATTTGTTTTGATCCATTTTAATTTTTTAATCAATCTCTGAGAATTTGTTTTAGTCTTTAGGATTTCTCATTTTTCTCCTAAAATAATGTTAAATTTTTTCGCTAAAATTTTTTTTGCTCATAACTGACTACGAAAGTAATTTTTCCAGCTTTTATAACGAAAATTTTTTCTTTAATTTTTTCATAATTTTTTCATTATTTTTTTTCTGCTTTAAATTATGATCGGAGCTTTGATTCTAATATTTTTCATTTATTATAAACTTCTACGAGATGAAACACATTTTCTTTGAAGAACGAAAAAATATTTTATTGCATTTCCCGTACATTTCACGTATTGCTTGTTGTATTCTGAGTACCTTCTCTACAAACCGCTCGGATTTCAGCCAATTCGCCATGCCAATCACGTGTCCCGCTGCAATTCGTGGCATTGCATTTTATTATATTTATTTTATATTTGCACTTTATTTTTGTTTATTTGCATTTTTTGCCTTTGCAATTATTGCCTTTGCCTTGTCTTCGCTGTGCAAAAAGAAAAATAAAGAAAAATAAAAAAGAAATCTGCAAAATTTTCAATGCTTTTTGCTGAGCTCAAACGAACTACAGGGATCCTACGCCAACAGCAGCGCCCTCCGCCACACAGGCGATCACCACGACTCACATACATACACTCCGATGCAATTGATCGTAAATGAAAATAAAATTAAATAAAAAAAAATCCGAAAAAAAAACGCGTTGCGCGCTAAAACGTTTTTAAATAAATTTAGCGTCGAAAAGTCATATTTCAAAACACGAAGCAAAATAATTGCAGCGAAACACCGAACAAAAAGCGGAAAATAATAAAAATAAATATATAATCAAGACAAAAATGAAAAAACGAATTTGAACTAAAATAAAACGTAAAAAAATTTTAAATTTTTGTGCATTTTCTTTTACGTCTACAGTTCTGCACAACAAGTGCCATAGAGAGGGAAAACCAACTCAAAAAGTTTTACAATTTGACCTTATAGTACTGAATTTATAAATAAAGAAAAAATAACAGAAAATTAAAAAAAAACTACAAAAAATTCTTAATACGTTGTCTCAAAATTTTCCAAGTGAAAATACGCACGATCAGCCGGAAAACAGCAGACAAACAGCGAACCACATAATGGGGTCTCAAGTACCCCAGAACGGTGCAACAGCCGCGAGGCGAACATTGTGGAATGCCACAATGCTGTTGAAAGTGGCAGCAGTGCTATTGATATTGCATGCCACATGTGGCAATTATCATCAGGCATCAGCAAAGGTGAGTGTTAATCTAGAGATTAGCGCACGGTACTGTTATTTGTTAACTTCTTGCTCAGTTTAATGAGAGAGCGAGAAAAATGGCAACAGTGCAATTTATGAAATTCACTTTAAAATCGAAAACAAAAACAAAAACTTAAATTAAGTTAAATTAATTCTAAAAATAATACAATAAAATAAAACTAAATAAAACAAAATGAAATAAATTGAAATGAAATAAAGTAAAATAAAATAAAATAAATAAAAAAATAAAATAAAATAAAAAAATTAAAAGATATAATAATAAAAATAAAAAGCAATATGAAATAAAATTAATTTAACTAAATTAATTAATAATAAAAATTGATTAAATTAAACTAAATAAAATAAATAATGTTACATAAAATAAGTAAAAATAAAATAAATTACTGCGGTTGTGCTGGAGTTGACCAAAGATAAGTTAAATTAAATAAATAAAAATTATATAAATTAAAATATAATAAAATAATACAAAGTAAAATATAATGTGAAATAAAATTTATTTAACTAAATTAATCAAAAAAAAATTAATGAAATTAAATTATTATATATTAAATTTAATAAAGTGAAATGAAATAAAGTAAAACTGAAAAATAAAGTAATATAAAATAAAACAAAAAAAATGTATAAATTAAAGTAAATAAAATCATTGATAACATATAAAAAAAAAATAAATTACAATAAATTAAAATAAAATAGGATAAAGTAAATTAAAAAATAAAATAAAATATTATAAAATAAAATAAACTAAACTGAAAAAAATTAAAATAAACAAAACTAATCAGGTGAAAATAATACCAAACAAAACAATTTAGTACGAATTAAAATCAATTGAAATAAAATAAAATATCAATATTCATGCCGTGATTACCTCATCGCATCAATCACAGCATAAACTTGTCAACTACAGCTCGGCGCCAGATTTTGCATAAAATTTATTTGCACTACAATCGACCGAGCTCTTAATCTCTAATCGCGCCTTATACAATGCAATAAATATTTTGCATTAAAAATAAATTAAAAATAAATTAAAAATAAAATAAAAATAAAATTAAAATAAAATTAAAATAAAATTAAAATAAAATTGAAATGGTGACTCAGAAATGTTTAGCTTTTGAAACTCACTGAGATGTAAAAATTAGTTTATTTTATTCTGAAAAAATTAAAAGTTTACTTACGACATTCTTTACAAGAGATAAGATTTTTATTTAATTAAATTAACATACAATGAAGTAAGCGTGTTGATTTTAGAAAATTATGAAAAATATTTCAAACAAATAATGGCTAAAATAAAATGGATTTGGTAAATCAAATATAAGATTTCTCTTGTATCCTTGTCGCTGGTTTTATTAACGGTCTTTGACGGTATTACAGGCACTTTTATTCATAACATCGCAATTTGATCCGTTCTCCTACTGTATCTACAATTTTGTGGTACAGAGTTTTTATGTTTTTTTGGTATTTCCTTTTCGCACTCATCCATAGGTTCATGCCTGAGTTCTAGCACAGAATAATAGATCTCGGCGACCACCGTCATCAATTTTCGTAAAGCTATTACCTGTTTCCTTTTCATCCTACATATTTATTGTTGCTTAAAAATAAATTAATGGAATTTTCGAAAATTATGATTGATGCAGATTTTTGGCTGAGATAAAAGATCCAGAAAAATCTGGGTCGTTAGTAAAAGCATCAGTTTTTGTATTTACAAATATTTTTTTCTGGCGATAAAGAAGTCATTTTTAATTTACCTACACGTATATTATCTATAAAAATTTGTATAACTCAAAAAAGGCCTCACATAAGAGTAGCTCTTTTGTTGAGATCTGTTGAAGTATAATCTGAAATTTTGTCAAATTTAAAATGATCAAAGTATGGCCTTGGCCACCAGTTCTTGAAGTGCATCATTGTACGTTGAATTTAATCCATTTATTACTAAAACTCTCTCTAGAAAATCGCATTGCAAGGTTTTATAAGAAAAAAAATACTATGACGTCTGTAAATATTCTCTTTTCCAATCCTTTTTTTTGGGTTTTCAATATAAAGTTTCTCTGTTTCAGATTTTTTACTTTAACTCTAGCAATTTTTGAAGAATTGAAGGCTTTTCTAATGCCCAGTAAGGCCTTAAAATCAGCAAGCCATATCTACTTATGGTACTTTGATGATTATTGCTTAAAGGATATTGAGTAGGTGATATTTGAAGTATAGTGCTGAGAGACTCAGGGAATTTTCAAAGGATTTTTCTTTACGATGGACCTCATATAAAATCCTCTTCCTACTCTACAACAGAAATCCACAATTTCAGAAATAAATATGTATTGCTTATAAAATTATTTTTATAACTTTCCTTAACTTCAGGAAAAGGTATTACAATTATATTTGAATGGCCAAACGAAGTGTGGTTGCCAAAAATTTCAACGAAAAAAAAAAAAAAAAAATATTAATACAAACTTTTTTTTTTTTGATTTCACTTAAGATAAGTCATAAAATTCACTAGACGAGGACTGCAATAAAAATAAATAGATGTAAATAAATAAAATTTAATGATGTGTGTAAAAAAATGATAAAATTATATGATTTGTTCAAAAAAAAGGAAAAATCATCTTGAAAAAATTTATTAATACAAGAATATAATAATACAATATTTTGTAAATAAAAAAATATATACATAAAATGACACATAAAATATTTAATATAAAATGGTTTAATTCTAAAAAAAATTAAATCTAAACAAAAATAAGTTCTAAAAAATATTATTTTCCAAAAAACAGTAATTCTAAAAAATTTTAATAACAAAAAAATCTAAGAAAATTAAATAAAAAAAATTCCAATTTCCAATCACTTTTCATTTCCGTTCCAATAGCAACAAATTTTCAAATTTATTTCACTTTTCAAGGACACGTTGTGCCACTTTTTGAACGCCACAACACCGGATCTTCTAATCGCATTTATTTCACTTTGCTACAAACAAATATTATTTATAAAAAAAAAAATAATTAAAAATCATCAAAAGCATCTTCTTGAGCAAACCAAGCAACAACAATTAATCATTAAAAAATACAAAAATTAGTTCAATAATAAAGTTCAAGCTTGGGCAACATACAACAAAAAAACAAAAAAACAAAAAAAAAAAAAGAAATGAAAAATTATTAAATAAAAATAAATATAAAAATAAAACAAGAAATTAAATAAATAATAGGCCAGGTTATCAGTGCAATGGAAGCCAAGGCTCTCGCAAAAGACAGCAATTGACAACAACAAACGCATAAATCATGTCAAAAACTCAAACATACACACACAAATACTCACACACATATACTATATGAACATGCATACACATACACATACCCACTGCGCTGTTGCAAAAGGTTAGCCAAAAATAGCAATTATACCGCTTAACGACGACGCTAACAGCAGCTGCACAACCGGCCGGTGGTTTTTCAGCTGATAATACTAATATACGCACTGGCGCATACAAACATAGCTAACTATTGTACATACATATGTATGAGAGTATGACTAGTTATCAGCGCGACTTTGAGGATGAACCAAATTTAATTGTGAAAAAAATCAGCAGATTGAAATATCAAAAAAAAAATATATATTTTTGAAGACAATTTTTTGAGAAGACTGTCTCATAGAATTTTTATTGCATATATAATAATTTCATGTATTTTTTTTTTTAATTATTTCATGGCGCCAATATGCTGCTAATGTGTGCTTTTGAACTTCAAAATGCGCTAAATTAGTGATATTTCACATATTTATACATATATAGATATTTCCAATCTAGCTGTATTGTACAATCTTAAATTTGGTACGATTTCGTCAGAATTTTCATAGTTTTGGGGTTATCTCTGGGTGTGATTTGTTGCAAAGAAATTCGGGTTTCAGCATCTACAAGCACTTTGTGCGCTGTTATGTAATTTAGTATGAAAAACATTTTTTAAACTAAACTAAAAACTAGTACATTTTTCTACTACTAATTCTACTACATTTTCTACTACATTTTCTACTACTTTTCTACTACCTTTTCTACTACTTTTCTACTACTATTTTAGATTTCTTTTTATTAAAGTTATTCTGCTTTTACATGATAAATTATATTTTTTTACTTTCATTATTACACTTTTTTATGCTGCCATAGACTTTTTGTTACTCTAATTTGTTTTAACTTTAGCTGTCCTCGATTGTCATTTATCAAATCGGAAGTTGTGTAAATGCGGTCAGCCAACCGTTCGCGTTTGTCGGTCGGTCAGGCATCTTCGTGCGTTAGTTAATCTCTGTTGCTCTCATTTTATTTACATGTTTTTAATTACATATTTATGATTTAATTTTTTTTTTTTTTTTAAAGTTCATATTTTTGTTGTGTTGTGCATCGTTAAGGTTTTTTTTTTTAAAGTTCATATTTTTGTTGTGTTGTGCATCGTGGAATGATCTTGTGTGTGACTAGTTGTTGTTATCAATATGGAGTGAGCTCGGTGTGTGGCAATATGTAAACGAATTACGACGAAATGATAAATTTTGTAACAAAAACCTAGACTAGATAAAATTAAATAATATTTTTAATTTTTTTATTTATTTCATTATTTTATATTTATTATTTTATTATTTATTTCAATTTTTTTTTTGTTATTTTATTGTTCTTTAAATTTACTTTATTTGCTTATTTTAATTCAATTTAATTTAGTTTTATATTATTTTATTTTTATCCATTCTATTTTTTTATTTATTCTAATTGAATTAAATTTAATTTATTTAATTTTTTTTAATGGAATTTAATTTTATTTTATTTTTTTTATTTATTTTTTATTTGTATTATTCATTTTTTAATTTTATAAATATAATTTCTATTTATTTGATTTTAATATTTTTTATTCTTGAACTAAAAAAAGCTAAATCTTAACTCTTAATGCCACACACACACACACACACTTTCAAGCAATGAATGAGTACAAATATATTTATACATAATTTATGTATGTG